ATACATTCACTCAGAGACAGACTCTAGGAGGAGCAGTAACTCTGGGTTTCCTACATCCCCACATCCAGTGTAAGTTTCTTGCACTTGAAAAGTCAAACTAATCTCCTTAAAAAAAAAGCAGCACAGCCTAGCCTATAGAAACTAGAGAAAACAAATCTGGAAGAAGGCAGTAAGTACTCATTATATAGTGGGACAGCCAGGAGCCAGGTTACTTACTACTAAAGCCTGGAGTGCCCCTGTATAAGGGAGCAGAGCACGCTAGAAAAGCTTTTCTTTAAAGGTATACACTGATGACCACTCAGTTTTACAGTTTGTTGCTATATCTGGTTCCTAGTTCAAAGGAAATCTAACGTAAACCACTCTTAACATTATTTATTTGAATTCTTTTTCATGATACAATGACAAAACAGCTATAAAGAGCCCTTTTGAGTACAATTGGCTCATTAAGTTCTAAGGCTCTTACTCAGCTCCAAAAAAACAGCTGTGCCCCACAGGTGTAGGTTTCAGCTGTGTTGTTCAGAGTACTCAAGAAAGCATGAAAGTGTTTGCAAAATGGCAGCCTTCAAACATTTGACTGATGGCACCAAAGCAATGCCTGGTCTTTAATATGCCAACCTGTGCCCATGGCCAGCTCCAGCTCCAATTCCATGTCCATTTTGAAAGCAAACAGACTAGAGCCAGCAGTTTCAAAGGTTCCTGTGCCAAACTCTTCTCCATGGCTGAGAAATGGGACAGGAGGAGGAGTTTCCTGAGCTGCTGTATTGATCCTGCCTGAGGGACCCTTGAACATTTATGAGTCAGTGATACACACAGCAACTCCAGGCTGGGCTGAGCTGGGCTGCACGCCCAGCATGGCTTTCAGGTCTCCACTGGGCCGCACAGACCCCTTGTCTGCAGGACACCTTCACCAGCTCGATATTAACAGCAGAGCTCGGAGGCAGCTCCCACTTGGTGCCACGATTGCACCACCTGCCTGGCCTTGCCCTTATCTAACAGCAGTGACAAGTCCTCATGAGAACATCCTTAAGAAAGAAGGTTGTTTTCTTGTAAGGAAATTATCAAATAGCTCAAGTGATGGCAAGGGAGAGCTGCTCTCCATGGATGGGATTGCATCTGCTCTGTGCACTGTGGGAAAATCCATCTGGGCTTGATCCAATGCTGCGTGAGTGTGGGGTGCCCAGCACCCGAAGGGATGTACAATTTACTTGCTGTTTGTATTCCTCATCTTATTCTGTCTTATTAAAGCAATCATTAAGCTATTTGTTGCTGGGCCTTTCTTACTGAGATACAGAAAGAGCCCTGCACCATCTCTCTCCCTTCCCCTCCTCTACCCTTTCCTCTAGTGCAGAATCACTGGCCAGGTTGCAGTAGTTACCAATTAAAATAAAGGGTTGTTTTGATGGTGTTTTTTTTTTTAAAGGCTGAATTTGTAAGAGGAGACTCACACTGTATGTTGCACGTATGTCTTAGGTCATTCTCAGCAGTAAAATTTGTATCCACTGTCCCACTTCAGTAAGTGTGATACAAGAATAGCAAGAACAGTCAACTGGTTAGAAGTGGAAGGACCTGACAATACTTCTGCCAACCTTCTGCCTAACTAGATGTCAGAGAAACATCCTCTTTTCCCTGGTGTCCCCAGACACAGAGCCACAGACATCCCTAGGTCAACCCTAAGATGCTAGTGTGTAGGCATTGTTCTCCATTCTCCCTGTGGGACTACCGCAGGTTTTTACTGCTCTCCTGCTGTGGTCTTTTAGCCACTCTTCTCACAGACTGCTCTTTGTTCTAAAGATGACATGCAATCTTATCAAATTAGATGGGGCTGCCATCTTTACTGTTTTAATGATCAGTTCCTTGTGATCTGACTCAACTAATTGTTGCCACTTTGAAACACTCAATCAACCTACCCACTCTAACTGCCCCCAGACTTTCTTCATAGGATTCAGGTGGCCACTAGCTGACCAGGAAGGACTTCTAACTCATTATAACCCTTATTATTTTGCGGTAGCAAAGCAGTTTTCAACCTGTCAGTAAAGCAACCAGCTTGCTCTTCAGTGTCGGAACTGGATTGCTCACATCCATGCCCATATTGCAAACTGATCTCCACTGCATCTGCTCCAAGTCTGCTGTCCTTGTTGTGCCCCAATGATGTGGAGATGTAGAAGCAATAAGCAGGAAAGAGAAAGCTTCTGCATCAAAGAGCCTGGGATGTAACTGGGTTTATAAGCCTTCTGTGCCCTTTATTGATGAAATTTCAGTTATATGGTTTATAGCCTATTTTAATTATCAAGTTATTACACAGCATGCACAGTTTTTTCCTAGTGCTATTTTAAAATCCCAGGGGGTTTGTTATTATAGAAATCCATGATACACAGGCTGCTGAGAAAACAATAGGCAGAGTATAAGTTGTCTTAAGTCTCCAACTTCCTACTAATGCAGAAATTTATGACAGGAAGGAGGCAAACCTCTCCTAGTGACAGCAGTGCCACATGGCCTTCTTGTGTCTGCCTGGGCCCTATTGTCAGAGTGATATGCAGAACCTGGCTGAGCGCAAGTGACTGCAGCCGGTTAAAACTCTGGTCAGAGGAGGCTGAGGCAATGCTGTCCTGGTGGGTGATGCAACCAGAGGCTATGGAGAGGGCTCTATTTCTTACTGGAAACATCTGTCTGTCACTTGGCATTTGAACACGCAGTTCAAGGCTGCTTGTAGGTGCATGTGTCACAGTAATGACTGTGACAGGCTTTTTCCGTCTCTAAGGAGGAGATGACTGTGACATTTGGTTTGAGTGCAGCTTTGAAGCCACCGAGTTCTTCTGCTAGAGAGCAGACAGTGAGGATGAACTCTGCGTAAGGCTGTATTTCAGATCAGCCCAGCAATTAATGCTGCCTCCAAGCAGTGCCATGCAGTTCTGCTGACTGGTGCTGCTAACCCTGCACGCAGCAGCCCCTCAGCCGCACCTCCTGGCCTGCCCAGAGACCACCACAAGCTTCGGGAGCCAGCAGGGCCAGTTCAGTACAGCAGTGCATCCTGTGCTGTTACAGTTGGGTTGGGTCTGGGTCTCATTTGTTTGAAGCTCTTTGCCCTTCTCCCCGTAGCTTTGCACAGAGCTCCAGGGAGCACCCAACAGTGCTGTTTCAGGGTCTGCACTCTGCTGCTTTTTCCCCTTTTTCAGATGGCAGCCGGTGGAGAAATGGTCCTCACTGGAGCTGGCATAATAAAAACATGTGCCCAAATCATGGCAGCAGCTGAAGAAGACCATGCGATGCTGTTACACCATGCCATGATGCAAAGACCTACTTAGGTGGAATATTGTTTTCAGACCTGTCCACTGCACAAGAATGGCTATGATGTGTTTGGTGTTTCCCCTGCAGATTGTCAGAGGTCTGTTGTTTATTACACTGGAATTACAAGCAAGTAATAGTTTAGCTTAGAAGCAAGTTAGTAAGGAAAAGCCATAAGAGACCAGTTGGTTTTAGGAAAAGATTACTCACTAATGTAGCATAAAGGTTACTCTCTTTTGTGTATGAAAGGTGGGCAATTACAAACTGAAACAGGAGCAGTAATGCAAACTCTTTCTCCCTTCCCCTGCTACTCTCTGCTTCCATTGACAAAAGGAAAGAAAACTGTAAAACTTGCATTATATCCTGAAATTCAGTGACTGTAAGGCCTGTTTCAAATGCAGACAGCAGGCTACTGAGAGCTCAGGACCATCAGTTTCCATACTGTCAAACCAGTTAAAGAGATGAGAGTTAGGATGTCAGTGGCAGTACCTCAGTGCCAGCCCAGCATCATTTCACTGCTGAACGACAGGCTGTAGAGCAGGGCAGGCTGATGGCAGCAGCACTAATGAGTGGGGTGTCTGCAAGCCTGCCTCCAGTTTTTGGGGGACACCCCAGGCAGAGGTCAGTGTGGTATCTGCTCTGCAGATACTCCCACACTGGTCAAACCCCTAAGCAAGATCAAATATAGGCACCCCTGGAGCTGCACAGAAAAAACAGAGTGGTGTCACCTATGCATTGGTGTATCTCCTTCAGTCACGGGACAGGACAGAGCTTTGTGGTGTCCTACAGGGACATGAGTGTGAACTCATTCAGCTATCAGACATACATTTATCTGAGGAGTAGTAGGACAAAAGGGCATAAGCACTCTTTTGCCCCTCCATCAATAGCTTTCCTGCACCACATGACCAGCCCCCCTCCCAGTGGCCCAGGACATCTGAGACTGCTTTAAATGGTCTGCTAGCTGAAGAAAAGCCAGCCAGCTGATGGGGCTGTTGCTCTGTTCCTTTATCCCTACTTGAGTCCACAAGCTACCAGCAGTTTGTTCAGGTCTCCTAATGATGTCTCTAATGATGACGAGAAGTTGAACCCTAATTTCCACCCATTGTGAGCAAGGAGCTGCTGGCAGCGAGAGGAGTGAGCCTGGTGACAGTGGCCAGGGTCTGGAGAGAGTCCTAATGACCAGAGCAGCCTGCAGAGATGAGGTGGATCCTAGGAGGAGCTTGGAAACCCAGGGATAGGATCAGCTCTGTGTCTCAGCACTGGCATGGCTGCAGCCTATCTCAGGCAAGCTGCAGTGGTGTCACCCTGGAGTTAAAGGCAGCTCATGTGCCAAGAGACAGTCACACGTATCAGTTGCTGAGACTACTGTGCCAGCTCTGGTGGGTTTGTGGCATGATGATGGCTCCTCCTGGCAGGGCTGGTCTGTAGGAAGCACCTTCCTGGCCTTTCTAGCAAGATTCTTCTACTGCCAAAATAACTCCCATGTAAGCATGAGAGACGGGACACATTTCTCGGGGGTCACGGGCTAGAGGGAGCTGACTTTGCTTTGCTTTGCAAAGCTTCAGGCAGCACTGAATGGGGGTTGTATGTGGAGAGAAACGAGGCAAGCAAGAGTCTGATCCTTCTGCATCTCTGCAAGTGAGTCCCACACAAACTCCATGGGTTGCTGCTGCCCTTCCCCACCCCCTCCCCCCCCCCCCCCCCGGCTAGTTGCTTTTGTTTTCATTAGAGAAGCTTGGAGATGTGAAAAAAAAAAAACCAAACAAACCAGGGTGTGGGATGTGAGAAGGAAAGCTAATATGATTAAGGCAGGATTTGGGCACTGGTGGAGAGCTGCCGTAGGTGGTGGGTATTAGCAGTAACAGCTGCTGCGCTTCCCATTAGAGGAGAAAGTGAAGAAGGTCCCTGAAAGGATGGGTCTCTGGCAGGCCGGGATAGCAGCAGCGGCAGCAAGCCCAGCGGCAGACGTGTCCCGAGGTAAGAGCCAGCGGCACCAGCCCAGGTGGCTTCCAGGGAGCACGGTCCTACTCCCTGTGCTGAGCAGGGAGGGTGCTTGGGGGGGGCGGGCAGGGAGGGATGGGAAGCAGGGCACAGACTGGGAAACACCCATGGGAAAGAGCTGCTGTGCAGGAGGACTTTGTGAGATTCAGCAAGAAATCACATCCAGCAAAGGAAGTGTAGGTGTGCCTGAGGAGGAGGCACCCTGCCGCTGTGTGGGGACTGGGGTATTTAACAGGGCTATTTAGCTTGTGGGAGTGTGACTCCCACAGCCGCCTTCTGACACATAACTGGTTGGAGGGGCATGGTGCTCGGCTGTGGAAGGTTAAACTGCATCCATCTGCTCCCTGCTTCAGGCTGGGCACGAGCTGTTTTGTGTGCAGTGGTGGTTTGTTAGAGCGAGCTAGCGAGTTTCAGAAGCACTAGAGACGGAGGTGTAAGCTAGACCTCCTCAGCCTCTGTTTTCCTCCAATTTATTTAAATCTACTTATTGAGCAAGCATAACAAGATCTAAGCCAGGAAAAACTGCATGTTGAAAAGATGTTAGAAAGTGCTACATTAAAAGCAGGACTACCTGCTTACGATATCTATTACAATAAATATGGTGCACTCATCCTTCAGCTTCACTTTCAAAAGTGCATTCTGAAAAATCAGAATAACAACACCCCAACTAATCTGGAAATGTGTTTTGTGCCAGCTGGCAAAGCTGAGAGGTACTAAAGGTACTAAAGACACAGTATGCCAAATACTAAACTTGGACCATGCTGAGAAAAGACACTTGCTTGGATTAAAAATTGGAGAATAAGGAGAAATCTTGGCATTAGCCAAAATGGCTGCCATTTATCTCAGGCTTCCAGTGCTGATTTCAAAGACCTCTTGTCAGCAGCAGTGAGCCCTGACCCACAAATACAAGCTGAAATGCTGCTGGTGGCAGAGGATGAGTCCAATGGTCACAAGCAGCCTGGCACTTCCAAGCTGCAATGTGTGGGCTGTTAAAAGATGTCTCATGCTCCTGCAGGCTGGAGCAAGGGGCAACCATATCCTGTCCCTGCAGCGACACAGCTCTGTGCCAGTGGGCAGGGAGAGCCTTTGTGCTGGGCACCAGCCCCATGAGCCATGGGACCTGTAGCAGCTCTGCAGGTCTAAGGGTAAATGCTTCCCCCATTGATCAGGTTGTACATGAGGTGGGAATGGTGGTGGGTGCTGAGCACAGTCATATGGAGCCTCCTTCTAAATGCTACAAGACTTTTTAGAGCAAATCTTCCCTGGCAGCTCCCTCCATGGGCAACTTTGCAAGAAGTGCCCTTTCCCTCCCCAGTCTCTGCAATTTACTTAAACATGTGAAATGCTGTGGATAGCCAAAGTGGCTCCGTGTGCCACAGAGATCACTTATTCTCTTTGGTTAAAGGCTGTGGGAAGCTCTGGAGCTCACCTAATTCAAAGACACCAGATGGGCTTACAAGGCTATGGAAACCACTACTTTGAAGTGAACTTGCTGGTTGTTTTCCACCATAGGATGGAGGACAGCAGGAGAGCCCACATAGCCATTGTTGGCTGGGCATGCACAACCTTGTGTTTGGTCTCTTACGTGGCTGCCTTCTCACATGGTGCAAGCCTTTCTGCCTGCACTGACATGATGCCCAGACACCTGAGAGCACAGCTGCACAGCCCAAACAACTATGTTACAGTCCACACCAACATGTCCTTCTACTCCCCAGGAGACAAGGTTCTAGGTAAGGAACAGCTGCTCATTCCTGAATCTGAAAAATATATGATGACTAATGTCAAGTGATGGTATTGATTTTTGTGATGGCTGGGAAGAGGGATAACTGCTCTGAGTGAGCTATACTACCTCTCTCATCATAGAATCACAAATCATAGAATGGTTTGGGTTGGAAGGGACATTAAAGATCATCTAATTAAAACCCCCTGCCATGGGGAGGAAACAAATGCGTTTACAGAGGGATTCCATTTGCAGCGCTAGGCCTAAGGTTTCTCAAGTGATGGCTGACTCCAGGTTTTCACCATGCTGCAGACCGGCTGTTTGCTGGAGGCAGCCAGTAGATTTGGATGCTTTGGATGGGATTCATTTATCTCAACTGTGTCTGAACCGTACCACACCTCACCACATGCAACAGGCACCTCCAGAGGGTAAAGTCGCATTCCCTGCTCTGCACTGCACAAAGGGGTCTGAGTGACTTGCTTGACTCTTCGGTACGGTTGGGCAGCATGCCCTATCCACAGCATCACTGCTCCTGAGGCAGATGCAGACAGAGCTGAGAGGCACTGCTCCTCAGCCAGGCCACTTGCCTGCTCATCCCCATGCAAAATAAAACCCCTCTTAGGGCAGCGTGCAAACCTTTGCATGCAGCCTAATGCAATATGGTTAGCAGCTTATAATCAAGGGGAGAGGCAGGAAAGACTCAAGCAAATTTTCCATGCAACTACTTCCTGAAAAGTCAAAGGTAAAGTCTATCCTCCTGAATCCAGCATGTCCAAGACAGACCATGAGGGCGATGACGATAAGATGTTTTTGGTATTGTTCCACATGGTTTTCTTTTGGTTTCAGTGATACCACTGGAAACTACATTGCAAGCAATTCACCCCATAACTATGAGACAAATCCATTTGTGTCCTGTGTTTTGTCTTGCAGTGACAGTGAGGAGCACCAGGGATTTTATGGGCTTTTTGCTTCAAGCTCGCAAAGTGTCTAACGATGAAATTAGTGGCACATTCATCTTCATCCCTCCTGGTTCCAAGCTGCTGGCTTGCTTTGAAGATGGTGACACTGTCACCCACTCGGACAAGTCGCTGAAGAGAAACCTATCCTTCGTATGGAAAGCACCAGACCAACCCATTGGAGACATCAAGTTTTTGTAAGTACATGCTGGTTCCTAACCAGAATTCGTGTCTTCTTGGTTAAAGGCTTGACTTTATTTTTCTATTGTCCAGTACAGTGGTTTACATATCTTGAACACCATATAGCTAAATACTTGTCAAATACTTATCAAATGCTGCAACACTATCCCAGCTGGTACATAAATTCATAAATTACTATTTGTATCTACTGGGCAGTGCTGCTTTTTATTTTCATGGTCACTATTTTCCCAGAATAATCACACTAGAAGATGGCAGCCTAAGCACTTAGGAATAGGAACATTAAGGCAGAAAGTTAGAACTGTGATCAGGTTGCATGTCCTTCTAAACGACACAGCCCATAGGACTTCCCTGCCTACAAGATAATCTTGCATATCTCTTCTGTTTAAAAAGTAAATAAAAATGAGTGGATCGTTTACATTTTGCTAAATACAACCAGAATTATTGACAGTAGGAAAAGAGAATGAGCACTGGGTCAAAACTTGACACCACTGTCTCAAACTACCCAATAATTTAGTTCTGATTTGGAATGAAATTAAAAATTTTCTAACTGTCTGTCTTAGAGGAAGCACATTTCATCTCTTTCATTTTGGAAGATATGAACTTGTAATGTTTTGACTTTACAAAACCGCTTGGAAGGTGCTTGGCCAGATGCTTGGCTGCTCCCCAAAACATAAACGTCCTGGTGAGTGCAGGGGCTTGTGCATCTCATTGTGATTCAACACAAATTCATTGAAACGGAAATACTGCTGCTTGGCATTTCCGGTTTTTGGCTGTTGTTTTAGATTGGGAAATACTGTTAAAAACACATAAAACTCAAGCAACCCAATAAACCCAACCCAAATTCAACAACACCTATTCCTAGCCCCCCACTCTGATCTTTCCTTCACCCTCTGGCTTTTGCTGGTTTCTGGTAGCCTCTCCCTTTTCTCCCTGTCACAGCATCTGGAAGAACTCCTTGTTGTGTTTAAAAATGCTGTATAAGAATCATCTGGCACAGGAAAACCTGAGTCAGTTTCCTTTTAGCTAGTTCTCAGAAGCAGCTGAGCAATCCCAGCTGAAATTCTCCCCAGATCTTCAACTTAAATAAGGCCCTCTGGGTGAATAGTTAAAGGTTGGCCAGTGCAATTTTGGCACCTGACAAAAAGCAGAGGGTTGGGCAGACCCAAATATCAGAGGGCTGAGAAGAGAGGCCTTTTTTTTTTTTTTTCCCCTACCTATTCTGCTGTTTGTACAAGTTACATTGACTTGTTTTAATTAGTAAATACCACTGTTGTTTCCCTGCCTACGGAAGATCAGAAGCAGAGCTAGTCCAAGTTTTCCAAACGTGCTTCTATCAACACAGCAAAGATAAAAGCTTTTTTTACAAAAAATTTAAGTTCCTACACAGTTTTTTGACTGATCTTAACTACAAGTGGTGGTTCTTCACCCCATATCTTTCTTATGGGACCTGGTATCTTTATTTGTAATATAAAACCTGTGACAGGCTAATCCTTTAGAATACTTTTGCATCACTTCTGTCTTCAGATCAAACCAGTCTTTGTGATTAGCTAAACAGTCAGATGTTTTATTCATGCCATAGAGTCAGTAAATTCTTGCCTAATTATGTTTTAACAGCATCTCTGTAGTCCAGTCATACTTTGTTTACTGGGCAAAGATTGAATCTGCTGTTGTGGCTCACCGAGGGCAAAACAAAATGCCTGCTGGCAGCAGTGAGAGGCCTGACCCTGTAACTGCTGTAACTCCTTTGCAGGGACCAGCTGACCCCACAGGTATGGCGAGCAAAGGTACGTGTTTCTTATCGACCGCTTCCCGCAGGGTAGTTTTACAGCTTATTCCAGGCAAGCACTGAACACAAGTGACCCAAACAAGCTGGAGGGACCCGTTTAAATCCTGTGGCCATCAGGGAGATCAGCCAAACCCTGTGAAGTGAGGGCATGGGTCAGCGTCTGAGCTGATGGAGTCAGCTCCAGGGAGGGTACCAGAAAGATAAACAGGATTACCAGATATTATGATTTCAATGCAAACCCAAAAATGCAACATACTTTACCTATAATCTCAGCTCCTGAAGACAAACAAGTGCAATTCACAATGCTGTCTAGATAAAGGAATAAGTTCATCTCTAAATCTGTTTTCCTTCAGGTATATATTTAGCTGTGTTTATGCAACCTTTGGTCAGTAAAATGCCCCAAGAATTTACTTATACCCAAATCAGATGTGTTTCTCAGCATTTCTGGCATGGCCCCAAGACTGAGTTCTAATTATTTTACTTGGCCATAATTTAGGCAGCAGGCTTTGCTGCTTTGCTTTCCATCTGGGTTCCCACTTAAAATTAAGTGACATGAAAACAAAAACCAAAAAAAGTCACTGCTACAATCCTTCCTGGCAAATGCTAGCACCGAGTGGGATTTGAAATAAACAAACCATGGACAATAGACTTCTGCTCCTCTCACCCTGCTTCTTGTTTGGTCTCCATGCTGGACAAGGTCCCACCTCTCCTGCAGCTGCCACTGGCTTCCCCCTGCACACCACAGTGCCTCCTGCCAGCCCCACCGGCACCACAGCAGTGCTGACACCAGAGCCAGATTTTGGTGCCCATCCCATTGCTGAGCCAAAGCAGCTGGCCCGGCCCTCACGGGCTGTGTCTGGTGGGAACGGTGGGGCCAGCAGCCAGTGGTTGGAGCTGTCCCTCCCCACTCAAGACCCCAGCACCACGGCTGCCATACAAGAGCTCCTGCCCCAGGACAATGCCTCCAGCTACAGCACCCCCAACGGGTAAGCTAAGTGGTGGGAAGAGGTGTTTCTCCAGCCCTCGGAGAAGGAAAATAGTACTAGTTTCCCTGTGAATGAGTGAGGGTCCATGTAGGAAGGTGTCTCTGGCATGGAGGGAGGAATGAGAGTATTTGCTTGTTGAAATTTTGAGGAGTAATGCTTTGGACAGTGACAGGGAGAAAATCTAAAACTCTTAAAAACCAATGCTGTGCTGCTCAGTCCAGCAGAGAACTGGCTGGGTGGCTGAAAACCATGATAAAAGCTATTGACTGCTACAGTATTTTTCTAAAAGCACATAAAATATTCAATGAAATGGTGAACTCAGCAGACTTATTTCTCCATGTGCAGCAAAAAGGAAGAAAAGATTCAAAGCAATTAGGAAATTTGGGCTTGAGGATGTCTGCTCCGAAGTCTTACAGGGTTTGGGCTGCATAAGCTTTCATGCAACACTTCATACTGTGGGTGAAAACAATGCAGATAGGAATAAAAGATCAGGAATTATAAGAATACAGCCCCATATGGTCTATGTTGATGGTGAGCATCCCGAGGCAACTTTAGGGAGCAGCACACTTCTCTGGTGGTGCAGGGGTTCCCGCGTGACATGTCTTATCTACTAACCCTGCCTTTCCTCTGTCCATTTCTTAGGGCAGGGAGCACTGCCAGTGCTGCCACCCCACGCTTGTGTTTGATGTGTAAAGAAGATGGGCAGGTAAGCACCCAGGTTGGGCAGGATGTCTTCTCCAAAGACAGAAGGGTCTAAGAGAAGAGGAGGCTGTCTTCTCTACTGCATCGCAGCACCAAGCAGCCTGTATAGCTCTCATAAATGACTAAAATTAGACAGAGACTGTTAAGAGGTCTACTTTTTTGTTTTACTTGAACTGGGAATTGGCTTTTATAGCTCTTTTGTTTTCATTTTGAGCCTGCTGCCCTGGTTTTTAAAAGTCCCGCTGTAAAAACTATCAAAAATAACTTTTCCATATGTAGACATGACTGCAGGCTGCTGGTTGCTACTGGGCTGGAATATTAGTTTTATTCTTGTGGAAGACTGAGATCTTAAAATCAGCTAGGTTGGAAAAGACCTTTAAGATCATCAAGTCCAACCATTATCCCAGGACTGCCAAGACCACCACTAAACCATATCACTGTGGGCCTCATCTACATGGTTTTTAAACACTTCCACGGGAGGTGATTCCACCACTTCCCTGGGAAGCCTGTTCCAACGCCTGATTACCCTCCCTGTGGAGAAATTTCTCCTAATATCCAATCTAAATGTCCCCAGTGCACCCTGAGGCTGTTTCCTCTTGTCCTATTGTTTGTTACTTGGGAGAAGAGAGCAGCCCCCACCTCACTACAACCTCCTTTCAGGTAGTTGTAGATGATGTTCATTTCCAGAGGTGCTGGATAGGTACCACCCATGATGTTCACCAGAGATCAAAGGCTTCATCTTTCCTGGGGATGGCCAAGGAAGCTGTATGCTTTCTGAGGACAGGGTCAGCTCAGGAGGTTGGATGAACTAGAAAGGCAGAGGTGGTGGTGGTGGGGTTAGCCACAGGAGTGAGGTGCTCTCATCAGGGACAGCTGGAAGTCCAATGTGCAGGGGATGGAGAGAATCAAAAACCAAGGAAAATAAAGAACTAGATCTGGGTTGCAGGATGCCACAGGAGGAAGAGTAGTAATCTCACAGAAAATAAAAGAGGAAGGGGGCATGCAGCAGAGAATGAAGCAAGGACTTGTGAGGCAATTCAATTTTCTATCCCAAAGTCTCAAATCCTGCAGTATATCTTTACAGTATGTCATTTGCATTTTGAGGGCAAGTGATCCATACATATGCAATTCCAACTTTGCCAGCCAGCTACTAGTTTGCAGTTCAGCCACAGAATGCATTTTATTTGCCCCTGTATTTTACTAGCACCTTCAGAAAGTATCTCTTCAACAAAGGATGCTCTGCCCCTCCCCTTCTTCACTTCTCAGCTTGCCAGGGCTCCTACCTCAGCTTTGTGCTCCTGTTACACTCTTCCCAGCAAGCTTTAGAAATCACTAGTGATGGTAGAGGGCGAGAGTTTCTCTGGTGTAATTAATGGATGTGTGAAAAAGCCTGCTGGGCTGGACAGGCTGGAGAGGTGCCAGCTGCTGAGGGCCAGATCCAAATCTCAGTGGAGACAAAGAAAAAACTCCAGCACATTTTGCAGGTTTTGGATGGGGGCTCAGGTGCACAGTGGGAATAGAAAAATTCATTGGGGGTCTCCTAAATCGTATGATTGTTTCACAGTTAACCCTGGATGATATCTGCAAAGCCGGGGCTGCACAACTGGTGTGAAGCAGCTGTTATTTTGTGACAGATAAAACAAGGTGCATGGCACCACACAGAGCCCCTAGGAACAGGAACGTGCAAGAATGGTTATTCCCACTAAAACAGGTGGTTAAGCAAAACTGAGAGGCAGCAGGTTTCGAACTGGCTGTGTAGACTGAGAAAGCAAGATGGGCTTTGGGGAGAGTTCAGTGGTTGTGTGTGACTGCCCCAAAACCACTGATGTCAAAGGCCATCCCAAGTCTCCTGGGTCCCTCTGCTCCATAGTTCAATCCACAGCCTCAGCGGGGTCCTACTGAACCCTTGTGGGCCTAGTGTGACCCTAAACATGAGGCTTGGCCAGGAAGATCTCGCCTGTCCTTTTGGCATGACCCTCACAGGTCATCACTTAAGGTGGGAATTGTTTATTAAGTGATTTTTTGGGGGTGATAATGATGCCTGACAAAAATGCCACCACCACGGTAGCTGCAGACGTTCACTTAGGCAAAGCCATGACCTTCCTCTCCACCTGTGTGCTTCACCTCTACTCCTTCAGTCCAGTCTGCCTTGGCTCCCTGGGACCAATTCCCAGTGCCTTATCCCTTTCTTGGCTATTCTGATATGGATGGAGCAGGGTTGAATCTGCCTCATTTTCTAAAAGCTACTGAGCAACCAGGGGATGGAGCAGGGTTATTTCAAGGTGAGGGGATACCTGGGTGTGAGAACTATAGAGCTGAACTGTACCATGATGTAGCTAGTAAGACCCTGATCATCCCCTTTCTCTCACTGCACATCTCATCATGTTTTTGCTTTCAAAGGCCAGTACCAAGAGTGGGAACATCTTGGAAGCCTCCCACATTGTGACAGCATCTCCTTCTGCCCCACACCTACACACTCACCTGGGTGATGCTGCTGTGACAACAGCCTGGTTTGGCAATGCTAATACTGCCAGCAATTTGTCATCAGCTTCAAGGCAAATGGCAGAAAGAAAACTGGCACCACAGCCAGAGAAGGCAGGTGCCAGGGGCAAGGAGGAGGAGGAGGAAGTGGGAGGGAATACCCTGCCATGGGTGACCAGACCAGCTCCCGATTTCGCTGTTCCTGGGAACGGGGAAGACCCTGGCAGAGGGACGAGGCTCCTTGCAGCCCAGCTCGGCATCCTCCTGGTCTGCACTGCCGCCCTGGGCCTGGCACTGGCAGCTGCCGTGCGCTGTGTCTGTGCCCAGCACTGCCACAAGCGGACGGAGGTCTCCTTCAGTGAGCAAGACCCCGATGTCATCACGGTCAGCGAAAACGGGGAGGTGATGCATTTCCGAAAGATCCGGGAGAACAGCTTCGTGCTGGTGCAAACTGAGTATAACTGGGTCAGCCCCTCGAGCAGCGGGAAGAAGACAATCATCTGAACGTCTGCAACTCCAAAAGCTGCTCCTCAGAGGCCGGTGTAGGTGAAAATAGCCTGGCCTGTACAGCACAGGTTATAGGAAGCAGTGGTGTATTTCCTTTATGTGCTGCCATAGAGGTAGACAAACTCGAAGTGGCCAGCTCAGACAGACGTGTTAGTCGAAAGTATCTAAGCTACAGCTGCTAAGAAAAAAGAAGCTGATAGATAGTTCAGTGTTACACTTACTGCAATTAATATTGTATATCTGCTCATTAGCTGTCACTGCAGCCATGACATACACTTCCTCTGTTGCCTTAAGGGTGTAGCCAAAAATAGAAATTCTTTCTCCACGTTGTAGTACTGTCTCCTGTTTAATCTCAGCAAAAGTTTCTGGTGTTATGTTTCTTTCTAGGAACTAGAAACCCCTGATATAAACCCAACCATTCTCACTGACGAGCTTACGAGTTTGATTCTGTGCACTTGGTATCTCTCAGATGACAAAATATTTGCCAGCAGATTTTAAGTTTCAATTTGAAAATAAAAAGCAGTAACTCATTAGTGGAGAGCATTGATTCAAAAAACACTGAATTGATCTGTGGAAGTGAAGCACAGAGTGGCGAACACCAGCTTTTGGGGGAGAAACATGCTTCCTCATCAGGTGCAAATGGAAGAAAACCTTTCCTGTCCATTTGCACCTGATGAGGAAGCTTGTTGAAGCCTGACAGCTGGCATTTACTTAGTCTTTTTCTTCGAGTCAGCTCAGTAACACTCTGTGCAGAAACATGCACTGAGAAGTACCCTTGCCAGGTCACTTTGGAGAAACCCAGCAAAGGCTGCACGGAAAGTTAACATCATCCTTGTGCTCTGAGTTTGTGCAAACTTCTCTCCAACCATGTGTTTTTCTTCAGGATGCCACTAAACAGGCCTTGGAAAACATTAAGATACTTGACACTTTTTAAGGAGAGGTAACAACAGCAAAAGTTTATTTGACTGCAGCTTTGAAAGAGACAGAAATGGTCCTGATAGTGATCCTCTTGAGATGTGTATTTTAGAGCCCTGCAGAGTGCAGGAATCACTCCTTCTGGAGTTCTTTTCAGGGCCAGGGAGGGGAGCACAGATGTTCCCCAAGCTATGTAATGACTTAAACTTTGGTGCTGCAGCTTATTTTGCAGCCTGAAGCAATCCCCCGTGAGCTAAGCAGATAATGATGTGACCCTGATGGCTCACACATGCTTCCTCATGACAACTTCTCTCTCTGTCAGGAGGGCCCTGTGGCCATGTAAAACTGAATGTCTATCTTCACACTGGATAGTCAGTCAAAGCTCTGCTCTCACACCTCCTTTACCTTGCCATTGACTCCAGAGGAGACAGGAGGGACATAGATGAGTTCTTCTATTGAAACCCCTTCAGTGGGATGAATGTAGTGCATCTTTTGCTAATAGCACTGTCCATTAGCATTCAGAAAAGAGCTAGTTTCTGACCATGCTACTGTACTGTGATTAGTGACATGATGTTTTGCATTACACACACGGCCAAATTTCTATCAAGTTAACTTCTTGGGCAAAATAAATAACAAAGTGTACTCACAAATGCAGCTTGCAGAGATGAGCTTGATGGTCTTAACCATTGTACTTTGAAGAGAAGGGCTGCCACATCATGGCCCTTCCATTGCAGAGTAACCAAGGATAGTGCTGTAACTGGAAAGACATTAGTTTTAGGACTGAAAAGGATGCTAGGTGAAAGGTTTTATGTTCACCAAGATGAGCTTAAGCATTGCCTAGTAGGAAGTCCACAGGTTTTTAAGTACAAGTCTAGACACTTCCAATGGCATGCCTCTCTTGTGCAATATGCCTTAGAAAGAAATCATGTTCCTGTAAGCCAGTGTAACCAAACTGCATAGCGACTAAAGCAGACTGCATTCAAGTCATTGTTAATGCAGCCAAAAAAATCCTAATTAACTGAGAAAATAGGTCAACAAACTCTTAAATATTTAAAGAACTATCACATATTATTTGAAAAAGTTTCCTGTGATGGTATAGCTGTTTATGAATAAATTACAAATACCTATGGCCTCTTCCACTGTCTTTCTAGGCTTAATGTTACCAGACTGCTATAGCTACAAAACCATGACCTTCCTTTACCCAGCCCCTTTCCCATGACCCAGCACCACTTCCTGCCAGGCTGACCTGAGCAGCCTGGAGAGGTTTGATTAAGGCAGCCACACTTCAACAACACTCTGCCTTCTGCCAAACTCTTCCTTCTGTTAAATTTATGCAGCTTCAATATTATTAGCAGTAAAACCAGTAATGGTGAGCTCTGAGGGACACAGCTCCTTTGAATTAGTAATGAGTTTTGCTACTTTGCAGACTTGGCTGAGACCTAAAGTGCTTGTGTTTTTTTTCTTGACTTCTGAATGATGTTTTGTTTATTGTAGTTGCCATGACAAGAGGGATGGGGGTTTTATCTTTTCTTAAGGCTATTAAAACCATAAGCACTGATTAAGTTATTAAAAGGCAAACCATTCAAACACCCCCATTCTTCATTGACATGTCTTGTATGGAAATTAATCTGTGCTCACATTTGGAACAGATTTAGGAGGGGAAAAAAAAAAAAAAGACAGGATTAGGAAAAGAAAGGCACAGACCATTCTAATATTCAGTGGAGGGACAAGTGAAAGACTTGCCTCCTTTCCCTCTCTGGGTGCATCACTGTGTTGGTCACAATCATTCTGCTGGAACCTGGCGATAACAGTTCCTCCAGGACAGGCCAGCCTACAGCTGACTGTGACCCACTTTGGGCTGCAATCCCTCAGCAAAGTGACAGGGCTTTGGCTCACAATTACCAACCAAAGGTGTGGAGAGCAGCCCACATTCAGCACTAATGAACACCTATCCTCATGTCTCCCCACCAACCAGGCAGGCATCAAACACAGTTTTGGCAGTGAAAACTGCTACGGCTTAAATCCTCTGCTAACATTACAGTGCTTGAGCTATCCTAACTAAAAGCCAACCTACTAAAAAACCAACTAGAAATAACCAGCTTGCATACAGACATGCCCGTTCATCACACCCTTCCTTGCATGCTCATTTTACTATTTCTTTTCACTGTAATTCCTGCTTTTCCTCTGCTCCACAAAAATATAAATCACTGCCCCAAACTATCAGTCCTGCATGTTGAACATATAATACCATCACTGATTCTTACTGCTTTTCCATGATACCTGAAATCAGTTTGGTTTTGCCCATCATCAAGTCCTTCCATAATCTTTTCCCCCTCTGCTCCAGAGAAGTTGTCTTATGCAATGCTGCATCTGCTTTATTAAAGCTGCCTGCCCCAACTGCAGTTACCAGAGAATGGCAGCTCTCCAATACATTAGTGGCACTAAATGTAAAGTGGAGAGGTTGCATTACACAATGCAGTTGCCCCAAAGCTTGGTTAAGTCATCACGTATGTTTCCTGCATTGGTTGAATTGTCACTAGTGAGCAAAAAAGCCAAACGTGGACTGATTCGGTCCCCTCCATAATGGGTGACAAGACTCAAATGAGAGGCCGCAGGGCCCTGAAGGCCTGGCTATCACAGTCAGCAGGGATGTGCAAGCCCAGGCTCTTGGTAGAGGCAGCACTCTTCCCAGAGCAGTATGGGATGAGGCCCCAGGTGCTATGGATGCTTGGCTGGGTGGCTTAGCCAGCCCTTTCAGCACAGTTCCTGCAACTGCTTAAGACCATACAAACCAAGGGAGGGCAAAGCAGCAAGGCCAGTAACCCAGAGAGTAAAATATTCAGCACATCCCCCAGCAAACTGGGCATGGGGAGATGATGGGGGGGGTCTGTCTCACTGAGCGGTGAGGACTCATCCTCACCCCTGAGGGTTTGCCTCTGCTTTAGCCAGCTCCATGGTGCAGATCTACTTATATTTAAATAATAAGAAATGCCTGTTAAAGAATGAGGAGATGCTGCAATGATTCCTGAAACATTCAGCTGCTGAAAGACAGCTGCTTACCAGCAAAACCCAACGAAGTAGTGACCCAACCTGCCCAGCTGGGGAGCAGAACAGCTTCTCACCTCCTCCTCCTCGCAAGCCGGACCCCCTCTGCTACCCCTGCCACAGCCTCAGGGCTCACTCCAAAAGTCCTTGTGTCTGGACAGCTCAGCAGGGCTCCTTACCTTTCTTTCCCCTCTGTTTTCTCCTGCCAGCCTCTCCAAGGTGCACCATCACCTGTGGGATGGCAGGGAAGGACCTGGGGTCTCATGACTGCCCTTAGACCATGAGCTGCTCAGGAATCTTTCCCGCTTCCCTCCTGCCACTAGAATATTTCCCCTTTACAGGTCTGGTTGTGGCAGATTTCTTTCCTCATTAGTGTACGTGTGACTCTCTCAATAAAGCATTTTGTTACATGATGTATGAAGGCCCATGTCCCAACCCCCATTTTACTGTACATTCAAGTGCATGTTTTGCTGATTTACAGCTGTTCTAGAGAACATCTCCCTTCCTGAGCAGGGCAGGCCCATAAAGGATATATCAGCTCTGACTAATGGTTATTAGTACATCCCAAGGTTATGTACCACAATTAAATAACATGGAAGAGAGAAGTGAGACTCCGGCTTACTCAGCTGAGGACAAAGATCACAGATAGTCTCTTTCAATCTTCAGATTGCAATATCCATTACAGATTGCCACCTTCTAATGTCAAAGTATAATTTGTTGTAGAGAAACTGTGCTGCTGTTTCAAAGGCGAGTCAAAGAGCAGCCTTGCTGTATATCAGCGTGTGTTGATGTACGTTAGGACGCCACGGCCAGGTACCGAGGACGCGCGGCTGTTGGTGCAGAGGGAAAGGAGACGTGACTTGCTGATCTTCATTATGCAAACGCAGGGCCCGAAGTGGAAAAACGTTTAACCCAGTCAAATGAAGTGTCACCAGCGATTCCCGGTGCCTAATGTACCACAGACGCTGCCTGTCGGAGGAGTTAACCGCGACCTCCCTGGTCTGCCGGGAGGGCTGAGGGGAGAAAGCCGTTCCAAAAGGAAAGCGCAGCCCCTGCCTTGCGCTCCCGGCCCGGGGCAGGCGGGCAGGACCTCCCGGGGCCGATCCACGCCGAGGTCAAGCGGCTGTGGCCTCCTCTCACACACTTCAGTTTCAGTTCTGGTAGTGAGAAGCAAACGGGCTCGGACCTACAGGATTCCCCCTGCTCCCCGCCGCCCGCAAGGCCCCGCGCCGCCGCCAGGGGGCAGCCTTGCCCCGAAGACGGCGGCGGTGACCGGTTCCGGCTGCTGCCTCGCTGCCCCTGGGACAGGCTCGGGGCGGGTAGCCCGAGGCCGCTACAGCGCAGCACGGGGGATCGGGCCCAGCCAGCCCCGCGGTGGGGACAGGGCCGCCGGTTCGCCGCCTTCTTCTCAGGGGAGATGCAGCGGCGGGCAGGAGGCTGCCAGGGGCGCAGCGGGGCAGTTTCGAGCCGGCGCTGCTTCAGCCTGCAGTGCACTGGGGAGCCCCGGGCCTTGCCTTGCCCAAGGAACCCGGCGGGCCGGGCCTTGGGCACGGACAGAGACAGGGACGGGTGCATACACACTGCCAGAGGCGACGTGCAGCAGTTCAACTCTGCTGGCGGCCTCTGGCTCCTCAGGAGACACGGGGCAGCTCACAGGAACACAGGGCAGGGAAATGGCTGAGCAGTTTATATATATAAAGACTATATAAAGTATACAGCGCAGTTACCTCCAGGCTCGTGCTGCGGGTGAGATGCAAAATCCCCACCAAAGCAAAGGGTGCAGGCACGACAACGCTCATCCAAGGGACAAATCAATTCCTAGAAGCTAAAACCACACATGCACCAGCTTCCTGTCACTTTCTGAACTGCAAACAACAACAAGGTCTGAGGCAACCATCAGTCTGAATTTTTCACTTCAAGTCAAAGGGCTGATTAGGGCTGATTTGACTTTAGATTTTCAAAGGACAGCTATCGTGATTTTTAAGCAATCATCTGCAAAAGAGATGAATGGCACACTTGGTGATCTGCATGATTTATTTGACAAAGCCTATTAGTTCTTTCTGGAGCAAATTAATAGTGATTCTCATCTGTTTGTCACTGGCAATTTAACATAGGCTAAAAAGTCATAGAGAGTTTTCTTCAGATGGAAGTCCATTCAAAACAGAACAAAAAGAGATGAATTTGAGAACAAAAGCTTTAATAAAGTCCTCTTTAAATGAAAACCACTCATGGCTTGACTGTTAATCAAACGAACATTACTTACCTTAGCACCACTGAAACCAGAATCTGGCAGCAAGTTTTTTTTCTCTTTCTTTACAGTCATAATTTATAACAGCTGAATTATTTGCTATAAATACTCTTTTCCTTCTGCTAATGTATTGTGCTGCAAACATTTTGTTGCTAAGACAATAAACTCCTAAACGGGGGCTTCTGAAAAAGTGCATTCTAATGCATTCCAAGCAGCAGCTATTCAACAAATAACACTATGCCATCTTGACAGACTAGATTTTATTTTCAGTAGTATTGAAAAATACTGAAATTTCTCACTAAATTTATTTCTTAAATATAGAAAGCTGCTGCTTGCAATACAGTGGAGCATATTTATGTATACACCAAAGCTAAAAAATTAAACCGGGATGAATTAGCAGAATGAGATTGCTTTAGAAAGTAGTGAGCTAGATAAGTAAAATACGTTCCTAAATACATACAAAATATCATGGAACATAGAAGATAATGGTTTAATATGCATCCTGTTACACATGGAGAGCAGTTTTTCTACACGTAGTATGCACCTTACTTACTTAAAAAACAAAAACCCCAAAACAAACTACCTAAAACTCTTAAAAAAAACTGGTACCAGCAAAATTTGACTTTTCTTGTTTCTTAAACAATGTCCCGACAGATACTTTCAATGAGATAAATGTGACAGTACAGCTCTTTATGCCCTTTATAATCAGAGAGGTTACACAACTGTAACACATCACGAATATGTGTTACCTGATCAGAAACGTAATAAAAGTCAGGCTCCACAGAGTCAGGTTCCCCTGCCTCATGCAAAATCTCACGTATCGCAACTCGACAATGTCTTTATACTTGGAGGGGTCAGAAAGAGGGGAGTTTGGGAGCACAGTGTGGCAAGAACTCCAGTGCCCCTGGGAAGTGCTACTCCCAGGCTGCTGCTCACATAAGCTCCGAGGAGGAGGCTTGGCACTGGCTTGGGGAGAGATCCGTGCACTATGCTCACAGACATGTGAGCTGAAAAGATACAGGCTTCCCACATTAACACTCTGTGAGCTGCATCAGATAGAGTCATCATATTAGCTGTTGAAATTGCATCGTACTCTTTACTTTTAGTATACTGTTACGCCTCTGGGATATATTCTGTTTATCAGGGAACTGGACCTAAAGAGATGTTTATAGTGGTTTTCTAAATGGGGCTTTAGTCAACTTCCTGTGACATACCTGAATGACAGCATGTATGTTTTGGGGAAGGGGCAGAGCAGATGCACAAACTAAATACCATACGTGCATCTTTTTTTAGTCCTGAGCCACTATTTGGAAATCAGTTGATTTTTTAGACAAACAATCTAAAATACTCAGCTGAAAAAAAAAGATTTTTTTTTTGTCATTTTTATAAATAATAATATCAAGGTTCTCCCAAAATTTGTCTAATGCAACATTATGAAACAGAAAAAGCAAGAATGGCTGAAGAACTTGCCAAAATATACAGGTTTGCCAGAGGATCAATAGTGACTACAATGAGTACAGCGCTGAGCTGCAGGCCCGCATGCATGTGGGTGTTTTCATCCAGGGAAACTGCGAGACCTAACAGAGAACATAAGAACCATAATTTGCATGGGTAATGTTCTTCAGTGTCAGCATGAAAAGCTGACTTCTGCTTCCCCAGGCAGCAGTGTCTTGGAAAGCTGCCCTGGTTTCTCGGTCATGGTTATCTTGTCATGCTTCTGTGGAATGGTGTGTCTAAGAAGAGAGCATCTTGTTAGAGATGCTCTCCAAGCAGATAAGAGCATCTTGGGGATGACACCAATAGGTTCAGTTAGGGACAGCTAACTGGGAGAAGTTAAAACACAAAGAAGGGGGGAAGGGGGAGGATTTAGATTGGAGGTAGGGAAAAAAAGACATTTTATCACTTATTTAATCAAACGCTGTTGACAAGAAGTGGCAAAACTTACATGGGGAAGATACTAGGAAATAAGATAGAACTCGTCTGTGCAGCAGACAAAGGACACTGATGGGGAAGTAATCACAAACATTGAGAAACGGAGGGAGCACAAAACTACAAAAGCTTTTGTCAATAGAATTTCATACCTAATTATTGTCACAGGACTCTCCAATTTTATTTCCTGCAATTCTTCTGGCAAAAGGCCAGTTCTCATATGACCTCCACAATTCTTTTCAATCTTATCAATGAAATTATCTTTCCTTTGAGGCAGTCCATTTTCTTATCTTTTAAGAGAGATAATTACCCTTAAATTTAGAACCATTTCCTAAGAAAACTGACCATAAATAGAAAGTTTTCTTTTACAGAGATACACTAACATCATTATGCTAACATCTGCAAGCCTTTGATATTGTTGCAGTTACACTAGGTGGAGCTTACCCACACAGGATGCTATCCAAAGAGGCTTTTTTTTACTTCTTAACTGGGTGAAAAATGGTTGTGCCAGGGGGCAACTTTGAACACAGGTAAAAAGCGGACAATATGCACCAGCACAGGATCTTTAGGAGGTGCATGTCCTCTTCTGTGTGCTGCAGCTCTTGGGTATCTGCTGTCTCTCCGAGCAGGGATCACAAGCAATTTCTTATCTCATGTCTGCTTCTGGGCTGGGCTAGCAACAGAGTTGATTTGAACCTAGCAGATAGCCTAAGAATTAACAGGTTAATGCTATTACTTGACAAATCCTGGCGTTGGGATCAACTCGGTGAGGCTCTTTTCTGTGTAATGCCACAGGTCTTCAACCTACCTGCCCTCCCTGCTCAAAACTGCAGTCAGTAGGGTAGGTGGCAGGGAGCAGAGCCTGATTCAACAGCAGCTATTGCTCATTTTCTTGTCACTCCCTAGGTGACCGCTGGCAGAAATCCCTGTGGAAATGCATCTAAAAATATTTTGAAAACTTGGCCTCCACTGATGAGAAAATTAAGTGGTGACTCATGCTCCCATCAGCTCCAGACATGACTGCTGCAATTTGATGGACTGAGAAGTTGATATTCCACCGAGACTGCAATTTGCTTAGGGGAGCAGCTGAGAGGCCTCATTGGCACCGATTGTTTCCAGCACATCTTTCTCATCCTTTTAATCACTAACAAATTTAATTTTACTTCTCACTGAAGATCTCACTCTCCACCTTTCTGGCAAGAGAACAATTCAGAGGCTGCTTTCATGTTCTCTTTTACAGCTCTAGATGCCAGCATGAAGCGTACGTGTCTGCACATGCCTTGCACTTGCATCTCCTGGTGTTGCTTTCTCTAGTCCTGCACATTTAGAGCCATTGGACAGTCCTTGTCCTTGCTACTCCAGAAGATTACTTACCATCCTGCAGGGAGTTCCCTGTTGAATGACAATTTTACAGGAACTATATGCATAAACTTTGAAGAATTTATTTAAAAATGCCTCCTCAAAAAAATCACAGTCTAATGAACACAACTGATAATGTGGTTTACGCATGAAAACAGCAAACAACCTTCCTCTGCTGACACTGTTCTGATACGATGCTCCTTTGGTCTGGGAGACTGGAGCTATTCGCGGATAGGACAAAAGAGATTTGGTTTATTAGATACTGGAAAAGGCAGGCCATCAAATCTAAAGTAAAATACTCTTCATTTACTGTCATCATGGCTACATTATTACCAAGCTTTGTTAGAACAATGACAGGACTTTTCAAACAGCTTCCATGGGGAGACCGCTCTGCAACTTAACAGCTCTTTAACTGGAGATGTGCAAGTGTAACCAAGGGGAGAATTTAGTCTCTTGTCTATTTAATAGGGACTGTACATGTTTCTGGCACTTTATAATAATAGAAATATAAATGCATCTGGCTTATAACAAAATAGAGAAACTATCATTTAGCCCTTTACTGTGTTGTAATCCCAAATGCATCTACATCTATTTAAGTGCAGAATAGTCTATAGAGTTTACAAATACAATGATGCGATCATTTGCTCTAAAGGTTCTATATGAAATTAGGATTCAATAAAAAAAAAAATTCAGTGTCTGAAATTTAATTTTTAATGTCAGAATAACATCAAAAAAGTAGCTCTTTCTCCATATGCAGTCTTGCAAAAAAATGTATACCAGGTACTCGGTCCTTTCTAGTGATTTCTATGTACACAATTGCTCATCTCTTATGCACATATACACTTGCACATAAGTAAATGTGTTGCAGACAGACAATATTTCATCTTGCCTTCTAACCTCCCGCTGTCAAGATATTGCCACAGAAAACCTCACACAGATAAAACTAACAGCTCCTCTTTCCCTGACTGCCAGAATAACGTAGGGGACTACTGCTGTAAAACCAAGCTGCTGGATTGCTCTCTGTTTGCTCTGTGAACAAGCACAACCACACAGCTTCTGCTGAGATTGCGTTTTCTGTCATACAGCCTATTCATACTAACTAAAGGATATGTAAGAAAAAACAGAACCACAATTTTGATTTGACCACATAAAGAATTATTTACCTTGGACAAATTATTGGGGTCATCAAAAGCTTCTCAATTTAGTGCACAAAAAGGGAAATAAAATGTTTGAGTAACTCAACACAAAGTGCTAAGATTCCCTGTGACTTATGGTGTGCTCTTTTATTGTTTGGGCGTTTTATTCCTCTGCTATCATTAGGTGGGATTATAGAGATGCCCAAGATCAGAACTGTTGATGATCAAGAAAATCCTTATGTTTTTTAACATGGACAGAGGTCTCACTTGCCATCAGTTTCGCCTGATTATTTTCAATACCTCAGATACCTCTCAGTTAACTTTAAAGCCAAGAAATTGAAAAGAATCAGAACAGTTCTAACCCTGTACTGAAAAATTGGTGGAGTTCAATTATTAAGTTTCAGTTGGTGCTAATTTACAGTATTCTGAGGACTTTCTTTCCTCAAGTTTAGTTCATAAAATATTTCCATACATTTCAGAGATAGTCTTTCAAAAGAACAAGCAAACAGTTCAAAAGCTTACCCACAAAAGAACAAATCATAGGTAACAGAGGTAAAAAGTTGACCTAGAGAATAAATAATTTTCTCTTGGTTTTCTAATAACAAAATTGAATTCAAAACCATCCTGTTTATTAAAGACATATAAGTATAATAACAGGTCACAGTTAAACATCTTAACAGTCTTTAAACGTAACAGAATTGATATGCATAATTAAGTTTCATGAAGTACGAATTCAAAATATATACTTCAGTTTTGCTTTATGTTCCCTTTAGACTAACACTTCCAAGACTCATAAACGATATTTAGGCTGCCCAAGCAATCAGAAAGGACTTTGTAAAGGCTTTAACAAAACTCCATTGTAAAACAGCTTAAAATATTCTTAAATGTAGAAAAAAATTAACAAAGAAAAAAGGATGTGTTCAGTGGAAGCAAATTGTTGGGTGTACTGAAAATTGGAGATTCAGTACGCAGAGGTAGCTCAGTAAGGGTACTTGCAGTGTTCTGACTACTTAGCATTGACATGATGACTGTATGCTTGAACTCTTCCTGTGTATTTTAAGAAAGTGAGTGCTCTTGTTGGGCCTGTTTCTTTGCCATTCAAAACCAACAGAAACGGTCATCAATTTCAGTGGGATTGGGATTAAGTCCCTATATACTCGGGAAGTTCAGGTTTATGGAAACAGAACAAAAAGAAACTGTCCTATGTCTGGACTGTCTGCTGCAAGCAGGGTTTTTAAGCCCAGGAATGAAAGAATTCATCATGTTGTCACCTCACGTACCTTCATTACACAGTCGTTTTATTGATGATGATAATTTTGAACAAGATGATGCTGTCAGCTACCAATAGCTTCTCATACAGATGACATCAGAGCAGTCTTGCACTGACTGACCATCAGGTAAAGCACTGATGATTGGTACTGGATTACTTTCCCATTGTTCAGAGGAATAACGGACTAGGAATAATAGACTAAGTAAACCAAACACAGTTTTTTCACAAAGGCAAAAGGATATGAATTTCACGTGCCTATTGTCATACAAAAGATCTTTAGCTTATGTAAATGGCTGTAGCATTGTTAGAGCTATAATAATTTACATCTGCTAAAGATCTGCTCCTAGGTAAACTGCACTCAGCTGCACCATTAACTGCAATGTTAACCATGCCACATGAAACTTCAGCATTTATATTGAACTGATCCCAGTTTGTCCTATTTCTTAAATTATTTTTAATAGTTTAATGCAAATTGCCAGCCCAGTTTTTGCAGATGGGTACACCTCACAGCCTGGACTAGAGCACGCTTCTGAAATCTTAATCTCCCAGATAAGATGCGGTACTGGCTAAATGTTTAAATATATGCCTGTGTTCCTTTCTCTTCAACATTCCTATTAGAGATAGTATTTTGTATGCTTTTTCTATATATAAGTTTATTAAAACGAGTAACATTTCCTTTTCTAAAAAGTGGTGGCTGATTGTCAAATTAGCTAAGGTAGCACTTCTGTTACAAAAAGGATCCTTTCAACTAGGGAAAAGAAAAAAAAAATCAACTTGTCCTCACAAGCTATTATTCATTACCAATACAGCAATATAGAAAATATAGCTTGGCTTACTACAATAAAGGTTTTGTTTCAATATTAGCATCCTAAAATCTGTCACTGCGGGTCTCTGTGCATTGCACCGGGGGAAGAAAAAGAAAAAAGGAAACGAAAAATTTGTGTTCTTCAGGGGTAAATTATAAAAGATCTGCTAGCTGCAAACACAAATACTTTACTCATAACCCAAGCACCAGACCATTTCTTTGAAGAAGCTTATGAGGCATTTAAGATATACAATGGCACAATATCATACAATGGAAATAAAAGAATTTTCTTGAGAAACCATTAACTTTGAAGGAATGTCTAGACAACTGTGTCAACAAATGCAAATAATTCATGCTTTTCAGCTTCTATCCAATGGATGGCCCCATGCTGAGTATACACAAACTCAGAAGAAAAAGGCATGTCACCGTCATATGACTAGGGAGTGTAACAGAGTCACACAGAAATTCAAGTCAATCTCAAAAAAAAGCCTTCAGAAAGCTCTTCCCCAGGGTAACCCAGCAGTGGGATAAGCTTCTGGTCATTTTGGCTAGTTTAAAACAGAGACTTACAGCTGGTGCAACCTGGCTCAAAGCAGGGGCAATGGAAGAAACAGCTGTTAGTCATGACCATTCACTCAATTAGAAAAATAAAACCTAAAGGATTCCAAAATACTGTACAACCTCTTGCAGTAACCAACAAAGTGGCTTCTGGAAACAATGCTTTTGCCAAAAATGCATCTGTAAGGCACTTAACGGGTATCTTTTTAATATATATATATATAAAAAAATAAAATATGCACTGAAGCAACATTCACAAATACCCAGTTGTCTCATTTGTCTGTGTGTACAGTATAGTACATATATACATTCACTGTGACACAGGCCATCTCCATAATTATACCTTCACGGGTGCTTTGGGCTGCCTGGTTAACTTCAGCGCCTGTGAACAGTAAACAAAAGGGTCACTTTTTTATATCCTTCAAACACAACCAACAGCACAAGACCAGATTTTTATTTATAAGGGGCAACAAATGCTGTGCAGGCTTATGGAAGGCTGAGTGAGGGGTTGGCATGCAGCTGATGGGCCACTCTGGGATTTGTGATGATGTTTTTATCTCTGTTAGCTCATCACAACCTCCTCATATACAGAACAGAGGAACCACAAGGAATATGATTACAGTGCCAGTGAAGAAAGCTGAGGTGGGTCTCAGATGTCTTTTAGAAAGCAGCAACTTGGAGCCCACCCAAACCACTTGTGGCATAGATACAGGAGCTTCTGATGCACTTTGGGAAACACTGCAGAGAAAATTTCTGCCAACACCTTCGTGTTCCCTGGCCTCCGTCCATATGGCTTGAATCCTGCTCAGAGTATAGTCAATGCTGCAGTGGTGGGTGTCACGCACCTCTAATGTTTGTACCTTCCTTTCTAAGAAAAGGTAAGAATAAGCCAAAATCCATCAGTACAGAGGTTATCTTATGCCAGGGGACACCTGATGTCTTTGTAACTCCAGTCTACTCCCTCTAAAGAGAAGAGAAACCATACATCTGTGGTTTATTTATTTGGGGTTTAATTCTTATCAGGGTTCAGCTCTGTGTTCCCCACAGGACTGGCCAACTATGGTGGCTGAACTTTTTATGCAGTGTGTGACAGAAGTTCAACTCAAACAATAGGTGATCATGCCTCTAGTTTGGCAGGAAGTAGCTTGTCTAACTTTGGAGGCAAATGTGACAGGCTTAAAAGGCATTAGGTTTTCAGCCGTTCCTGCATCCTGGTATGGTCACTGTAAAGGATGCCTGTTGTACGGTTGCTCTGCATCAAAAAAGCTCAGTTCTTTCTATGTGGGATGAATTACCCTGAGTGAGAGGGAAATCAGTGAAATTCACAAATTCCTGAAATTTGGAACCTCTTTTTTCCTTAGCCTTTTGGGCAAAGTGCCCTGACAAGCTGGCATTTGCCTGTTGAGTGAGAGACTTATCATTTCTGGAGGGTTGACTAAACAAGCAGTTTTTAGTCTGAGAGATGTCTGTTGGGTCTTCTTATTGTAGATATTAGCCTTTAATATTGTACATTTAAAGCTTGTAAGCACTGCTTGAAAAATACTCCAGCACAAGTATAAACCCTTAAAAGAATCCAAACCTTTAAAAATAAATAGGCTCTATTCCCCTCAGAAACACTGGCTTTCAGAAACACCAGCATTTAACTATTGTTAAATCTAGCCATTTGAGATTAGTCTTTTAGATATTATTCAGCAAGAGACTTTGGAGAGAGACATCATTCCACATTTTGTTTGGGGAAACAATTTTTTAACTTTGTAGTTTGGCAGATGCTGCTGCCATATTTACAAACTAGAAATACCTTAGTGTAGATGAACCTCTAAATATTTAAATTCAATTTCATACAACCAGATCACATGTACTATCATAATTAAGTAAGAATGTCACTGCAGTTGAGTACTGTGACTGGATAACCGTCTCCCCCTGCAAGAGAGATGCCAAAATGAAGCCAAGGTGTTTATAGAAAATAAACATCAAGGGTGATGATGACATGTTTATTTTCAAAGCGGGAGACCATTATCCAGTCACAACATTCACTTCTATTATACTTATTGCAACTGTACCAGAACCAAGCTCATTGATTTTTTTTCAAAGAGTAATTAAAATAACATTTGTGAATAATACAGAAGACCAACTAAAGAAACTGCTGCAACAGAACAACAATCCCCCAAAGTGGTTCTACAGTAGCATTACAGTCTGATTAGCACAGGAGGTTTATTTGATGCTTAATGAATAAGAAACTAGTGCTGGTGAAATGTAAATCTCTCCAGTACTGGCTGACTTTTCTGATGCCCTGTTTAAAGGCTGTGTTAACTTGCAGCAGTTAATCTGACAGCAGTCCCTAAAGGCCATTGCCACCCCTGAGTACTGGGGAGGTCTGGAAGAGCTCCAGTCCCACTCCTGATGCTGGCAGCAGAGAGCAAGTTAGATGCTGAAAAGAAGTCGCATTGCAGGGATTGTTCTGTCAGCGGCAGTGTCTATTTAAGGCTGTCTTTCTGAGGGAATGGCATAGAGTTTTCTTTACACAAACTGTGGTGTCTCCTGATAGTTTCTGATAAAAAAAGATCACGACTTTCAGACTGATGGAGAAATGACATAGGATTCTCAAATTTGCATTTCTGGATGCTACAATAAGTATATCTTAACAGGGTCTGATTTGTGGACTCAGTTCCTGAAAATTGAGAGTTGGTTGGTTTGTTTTTTTTTTTACAATTCAGGTAACCAAAAGCGGCGCACATAAAAATCACTGATTTGGAGAATTTTAGCATTCAGGTTAGGAAGGTGACTCAGTGGAGTGAAGCTAGTAAAATGGCATTTGATGGCTTTTGCTGACAATTCGTAACATGGAAGTTATATAAAAACCCAAACATTTCTCCAATGATAAGTGGAGAATGCAGGGTACTGGTGGTACTGTACTTGTCACAGTAGGTCTCAACTTTCAGCTAAAATGGCTGTCAAATACTGCTTCAGGTGCCACAGCTTCTTGATCCTTATTATCTCAGAGCAATAAGGACAGCATTACCGTCAGATGCACGGACTAGCTTTCTTGGGGTGGTTACTGTTCTGAGAACCTGAACAAACTCACTGCAATTATTTCATATAGACCACAGAATGGCTGTCAGATGTCAATAGCTTCAATTTGAACTGAAATAAGCATAATTTGAATCAGTGATATCATAGAATCATAGAATAGTTAGGGTTGGAAATATCAATGCAAATACCTCTCAGTTACAGGCTATTATCCTACAAGCTATCCCCTGCCATTATTATTTTGGCATGAAATGTGATGCATTAGACTCCTGTAGACTTCTTGCTATTGTAGAGAGTGGCCCAAGTGAAAAATCAAACCAGTTTTAATCCTGCTTCAATTCAATTCAGAGAGCGCTCTCATTTTCTGTGATCTCCCCAGCTTCCATGCCAGTGGACAGATCTTTGTCACTTTTCCATATGGGAGAGCTGAATCTGTGATCATTAGCTAAAAATGGAGCCATTCTTACTAGGCATAATCTGAATGAAGTAATAATTGAAACTAATCATAAAAGTTTAACTTTGAGATTTGAACCTTTTCAGAGCCAAGAAGAATAAAGTTCAGCTTTTTTCTTTTTTTTATACTACTGTGACTATCAGTGCTGCAAAGGAAGTAAAGACACAGAAAAGTCTCTACCACGGGATCTCCAAGAAGGAACCTGAGGAGTTTAAGATATGTTTAGGTGGCTTTTTTCCTCATAGCACTCTTTCCACTATAAATAAAAACCAGCAATTCTTACCTTTTGTCTAGAAACCATCCAGGATTTTATTGTTGGTACCAGCAGACTTCCAAGAAGAATCTGAGCAGGATGATAGATGAGTAAGGGGACGGAAATTAAGGAGAGGTGCTCATAACCCGCAAATACTATCTTCAGCATTGGAATCCCTGCAGACAAACAAACAGGAGAGAGACTTTCACCTCAGATTTTGAGCTCCAGATAAAAGCAAAACATTTTATGTTGCATTGACATTTCACCAAAAAAACCTTCCAAAAGAAACAAAGTGAAGACTCAGAAGTTTTATGTAAAAAAACCCCAACACAAACAAACCAGCAAGAACGTGAGCAAAAAAAAAAAGAATACCTGGCAGAGAAAGTTCTGTGGCATTAAGGAAGGAGTAGCAGAATGCCATAAAAGATCTAATTAAGCTAATGCTGTCAAACTCCTGCTGAAGACTTGATAGAAAATAGATTCTGCTATACCATGACTGTTCAGTTGCTGAGCACACTTGTGTCCTGCTTATTTACTACTTTCTTTCACTGTGCTCTGTTCTGTATTTTCGCAATTGTCCTCCATCCAACCTGCCTGACTCCTGCTTGTATCCTTTCTTCAGCCTGTTCACCACTGGAGAAGGATTGTGCTTTTCTGGCCAGTTTTCTCCCTGCCAGTTGGTGAGTACCCAAATGACAGCTTTCCCTGCTCTGACCAATTCATGCAGTCACAGGGTAGAGTCAAGTACTCTGCAGGTCAGTGCTTAGGTGTTAGAGAACAAAACTCTCTGCTCTACCTATGTGTTTAAGAAGAGATACAGCATGAAAGAGAAAAAGTTTAGTGAACAGAGTGAGCAATATAAAGCGATCATGCCTATGAAGAGTTAGGGAGCAGCTGGAGTACAGAAGTTGCTACATACCGGAAGAAGTGAGTATTACAAGCTAGAGATGGGACATTTTTCCTAAGAGCTTGAATTTGCACTAAACACTGCTAATTGTGTTAGACATCTCCATGCATAATTCTCCCACTTGATCATGTGATATGTAAAATTAAATTTGATTAAGTTTTGCAGTAAATAAATTGATTATGTTTACTTTGAACACGATATTGTTCTGTCGTGGTTTAAACCCAGTCAGGTAATTCGTTCACTCACTTCCCCCCCTTTCGTGCCCTCCCCCTGCTCCCGGAGGGACGGAGAGGAGAATCGAAAAGAATGCAACTCCCACGGGTTGAGATAAGAACAGTTTAGTAACTAAGGTATAACACAAATCACTACTGCTACCACCAATGATAATAATGATAGAGGAGATAACAAGGGAAGAGAATACAACACCTCAGCATCAGCCGACCGATAACTTGCCCCCCCTCAGCCTGACCAAGCACCAACCGATACCTCCTCCAACCCTGCAGTTTCCCCAGCCCTTCTGGCTAACTCCCAGTTACCTCCTGGGCATGACGTGCTGTGGTATGGAATACCTCTTTGGTCAGTCTGGGTCAGGTGTCCTGTCTCTGCTTCCTCCTGGCTTCCCCTCCTCCCTGGCAGAGCATGAGGCTCACAAAGTCCTTGGCCAAACCAAAACATCTCTATCAGCTCTGTTCCCGAGCCGAAAGTCAAAACACTGCACTGCACCAGCTACCAAGGAGGAGAAACATGACTGCTACTGCTGAACCCAGGACATGTTCAAAATTACCTGTTTAAACCTTGGAACTCTGCTACCATGCTCTACAACTCACATATGTGGCCAAAACTTGCAACCATCTCTGACCAGGCATTTGCATAGTTTGCCAACAAGAGCAGCTGTGATTCCACAGCAGCCCCCTGACAACATACCTTATTTTCTCTCTCATCTTAAATGTCATTCTAGGAATCTTCTGCCACCATCACCCTTGCACCAAAGCAGGCTATAGTTTTTAAAGAGCTCGTTGTGTGTCTCCTTTCTCAGCAATGACAAAAAGCTTTGTGCCACATGCCCTCTATTCCTCTATTAGCAGATATTTCAGATCAGCCAAAGCAGCCATGCTTGGGCAAACTTTTCTGTATGTCTTGGATAAATTCCCATTTCCAACATTTTTTTTAGGTGTGCCTTAATAAAAGTTGTCTCCCCCTTATGTAAGGAAACAGGGTTTTTGTTGAATATTACCATGCCACCAGTGCCTCACCATTTCTGGCATGCCTAGGCTTGCTGAAATCTTCATGATATTTCCGCAGCACCATTTCTTGCCATTATTTTGATTAGCTTTATCACATTTACCACTAACAATCTCATCCCCATACTAGCTGCCTTTACCTACATGGCTATTACCAGGGAAAGATCAAATAAAGGCTTGCATGCTAATTTGAATATTATAATTACCTTCAAAAGAACATCATGGACCTATCACAGAATAGGGTTGTTTATTATTAACACTGATTTCTGGGGCTTGAAATAAACAGTATTTGGATAGAAATTAAATGGGCATTTGCATTATATTAAGGAGTATATTTACTTCATATACCCATCAAACTGTTTTTGTAAACAGATAAGGGTTTTATTGCCTGTTTCCAGGCAACAACTTGGCCCTTACGCATCCTTTTCTATTCTCTAACCACAGAAGAATAAACTAGAGCCCCAACCTATGAACATGCTATATTTATGTTCCTAAGACAGTACCTGGGGTTTTGGTAGTGCAATTTCATCCATAGATCCAAAACCACTTTAGTAAGCTGAACAGGACTCCTACAGAGAATCAGAGAACACTAAAATGACTAGCCTAAGATCACACAGAAAACTAACAGCAGAGACGTGAACAGAATGGATCCAACGTGGCTGAGACATGCTTTAAATTACTGTATATTTTCTGAAAGATGAAAAAATTGAGCCTAAAAGGTAAGTCCTCTAGAGGAAAGCTATTTCAGTAAAGCAGGAAAAGAAAATTAAAGTTGTCAAATATAAATACAAAATACTATAATTAGTGTGACAATGTAATTAGATCACTGGTTGGAAAGAGATTCTTAATTCACAGCATGTTTAAATACATGTCACAACAATAGGCTCCTGTAAACTACTAATGTGCAATTAAAGTGCCTGTTATTTACCAGAAAAAAACTAACTGGTGAAAAGAAGAAATAATAATCATTTCTGCATTATTTCATTGGAAATAAAAAGCCCTGTTGCCTTTTAATACACTTCTGATTTTTATAATTCCAACTTTGCCAGTATGCAGCTGTCTGAGAAAATATTTCATGACAGAGATCCAGAGAATACAGTCACAAATGCTTGTGTCAGTAATATTGACACAAAGCTAAACAAAACAGCAAACATTTTTGTAGCAGTGCACAGTAACTGCAAGCCTCAGTACGACTGCTAATGTTTTCCAAACACACAAAGCTCATGCAAATTCCTAATTAGGAAAAACATTTTAATAGTTACTCTTCCCTTTCTTACAAAAAAAAAATCTCAAAACAAAACCACAAACAAACTACATATTGTTTATACACATAAACCAAAACCAAGCAAAGTGAAAACCAAATTCCAGCTAAAGAAAGAAAAGTAACATTCTAATGCTTGGGCTGATGCTGTATGCTGAATCTTAGCCCCTAAAGCATTTTCAGCATGCACTAAGAGAAGCCATAACAGCAGCACTGAGTAAAACAGCAGTGTCATGAACAGGTGTGGCTATAACAAAACTGGTAAAGTGAGACAAGTTTCTATCTTTCAGATAGATAGCAAGGAAGGAAAATGCTAAGCAAAATGGTTATGGCTATTTTTATTTCTGATTGTCCACTCCTGTTTTCCTAATTTTTTTTTTACACAGCAACAAATCACGTATATTAAACCCCAGTCCACTGTCTTAGTCTTAAGTTTCCTCAAAGTATACATCAGCTTCTACACCCCATTCCCCCCTCCCCCTCCCCCCCCCAATTACTAGGGTATTTATCTGTCACCTGGTGCATTAAAGCAGCATTCACACGTATGAAAAATAATGCTTGCAAGGATTTTTCATTTTGTTTTCACAGAGCCATTAATCATGCTTATCTGTATTTCAGGGTAATGGACTGACTTCTGTGGGTCTTTGTCTTGATACTGGAAGAGGAACACTAGCATTATCAGTTTATACACAATCTTTCTGTTACGTTTTAAGATTGCTGTCATGCTCTGAAGGCTCATGCCACAAAACCCCATTCATGTTACTGGGGTTTATGAAGGTTTATTTCAGGCTTTCAGCAGCTTGGTTCAAGCCAAAGACCCTCACTCACTACCTGTCATGAGTGCTGAATGACAAAGTGCTCCTCTGTGGTTTGGTAGCAACTCGGACAGCTTCGCTCCAAGTAGAGGCATAACAAACTTGAGTTGCCAAAGTCTTTTAAATACCCTTATTGCATGAATATGTATCCAGCTCCTGGATCAGAGCTGACCAAACACTGTGAAAAGTGCAAGTCAGGGTTGTATCCCATCCTCCCCCAAAGAAAGGAAGTGTGGTACCCAGCTGGGTTAGGAAATAGCATCTCACCTGACCAGGACTACAGAGAGCTGTAGCAGAAGGAAGGGAGCACTGAGTTCATCCCACAGATATCTCTTACAAGCAAGATAATTAGTATTCTCAGCTTTTTACCCTGAATTTACCATTTCTCCTTTGCTTGGCTTTACTTCTCCTACCAGTGCTCCCCTGTGTTCCCATCTTCCTCCTTGCTCTTTGGCTCCGGTATTCAGGGGCTCTTTTTCTGTTTGCATTTCTCTCTTCCTCCTTTTTCCTCCTCTTCCCCACTTCCATGCTTCTAGCCTGCTTGGTTTTGCTTCGCAAGACCTTTGCTTCTGCTTACTTGCAGCAGCGTAAATTTTGGGCACTTCCACTAAAATCACTCAGTTCCACTAAGCCCAGTGGGCAGTAAAATCATAGTCCCTGTGCAACTGAGAGAAGTGAGTTAGGCAGTGTGGTATGGAGTACATTTAATTTTTCTCCCTTTTTGTGTCCTCACTCTGCCCATTTCATGTAATAACTTTGCAAACCTGAGGAAAAGCTACTAAGAGAAAAGCTGTTCGTCGTGACCTTCAACAACAGCAAGGAAGAGTGAAAAGATTGCTCTTACAGTCTGGTATAGGAAAGTCCTGTTTGCTCTCCACTGCTCCAGGGTATTCCAGCTTGCCTCCAAGGCTGTGTTTTATCAGCCCTAGTCAAAAGCTACTGTTTCTCTACT